AGCAATTTCAGTGTCAAAGAAGTGGCGCAAACACTGAACGGCATTAACACTCAGGGAGAGAATATCGCCGATAACGGCGGTGTCATTCAGTCTTACCGGTAAATTACTGACCACTAAATTATCGATAATATTACTAACGTTTGTGTCTCAATATATTCAGGGCTTACCAGAAGTATGTGCTGGAGAACGGAGCGGAACCCCAGCTGCCGGCCATTGACTTATCTCCCGAGCAATTGTTTTGGGTCAGTTCAGCCGTACAGTATTGCTCAAAAGCGACCAAACAGTATTTGGCACTTCAGGTGGTGACCGATAGTCACAGTCCCAGTAGACAAAGGTTTGCATTGCCCGGCGTTACCACACTTTCTCCCATTTCTTGCCTATCATTCAATGTTAACGTCTAATATGAATGCAATTATTATAGAGTGAATGGTGTCGTCTCTAATTCGGATGAGTTTTCCAAAGTATTCAACTGTCCGTCCGGTGCGCCCATGAATCCGGTCAACAAGTGTGTCATTTGGTAAACACTTTTGGCGTGTTTTCTCTCTCTCTCTCTCTCTCTCTCTCTCTCTCTCTCTCTCTCGTTTTGCACCACTATTTAAGATTAATATCCGACACAACGTTATCTGAAAAGTGTTTTAAACTTTTCTCTCACTCTTATCTCTGTTTCGAAAACAAGTTATAGTTTTCACTCAAAAGGAAAGTAAACTTTTTTAATGCAAAATAACAAAACAAATGTGAATTAAGAAGTGACATAAAATTATTTCTCGACTTGAAGTTCATTGGCATTGAAATTCTTGAGTGAAAAATACATTTGATTAAAAAACAGAAATATTTTTGAACTGAAAACGAAATGTAAATTTTAGTTATTGAAAGCGAAAGTGGTTTTTATATAAAAGTGTTGTTTTTGTGGCAAACAAAAAACTAAATATGTTTTATAAGTATTATAATAATATTTATATCTGGATCAATTTATTTTATGCGATAACTGGTGTCATACATGCATACAATAACATACTATACTTTAATCGTAATTTTGAGTTTTTCAATAATAATAATTCCAATAAAACAATTTGTTTATCACCCGTTTGTATTAAAGAAGGTATAGTTTATATTATAATTTAAAATATTAATCTAACTAATTATCCAAATAATATTTATTAATGTTATTTTAATATGGTAACTATACTATGTATGTAGCATCTAGGATAATCCAATCATTGGACGAGAGTGTGTCTCCTTGTGATGACTTTTATCAATTCACTTGCGGTCAATGGATGGCATCGACGCCAATACCGGACGACAAATCGTCGCTCAACTCATTCAATGAATTGCAAGAAGTTATTAATTACAGAATCAAAGGTACAGTACTGTGACTGCTTTGATATTGATATTTATTAATGTTCAATAAGTACAATTAATATTTTGTCTTATGTATAGATCTTTTAGATGATAGTGAAATCAAGGAGAGGGCTAATAATGATCTCGATTTTATACAAAAGGCTAAGGATTACTATCAAAGTTGTATGAATACAAGTGAGTTGTTTATAAGTGGAAATTATATCATGACAAAAATAATACAAATGGATATCAGTATTACAATTAAAAAGTACAGTATTTTAACATAAAATAATATTTCATACATTTGTTTGTTAGCTTTAATTGAAGAAAGAGGCTCTGAGCCACTGTTAGATCTATTGGATCAGATTATTGGCCAAAATGAGTGGCCACTGCCACTCGGGTCAGCGGACAACACATCGGTGGCCATTGGTTGGCAGGAGTTGTACTTAAAATTACGAGACTTTGGTCTTATAAACACAATGCTATTCTCGCTGTCCGTCTCAACAGATGTTAGAAATAACACGAGAAAAGTGCTTTCGGTTTGTATTTGAGTATAACTAGTCATAGAATATAATGTTATTATTTTTAACCAGAATATTGTGGACTTTTAACATTTTTAAATCTTACGTTTGGCGTACAGTTAGATCAGCCATCGTTTGGACTGAACAGGGATTTGTTGGTCAACGAAGAAACCGGGTCTTCATATGTGGCGTACAGGGATTTAATGATCAAATCCGGACTCAAACTCATGAAATATAATACAAATGTGTCTCAAATTGAGACCACAATAGACTCAATACTCGCGTTTGAGAGACAATTAGCTAATGTATTGATTGTTTGACAATAATTATCTGAAATATTTAATATTTTATTGTAATTATTATTTCTGTAATCATAGATATCAATGGCTAAGGAATTGAGACGCAATCTAACAGTTATATTATATGAAGATAAGATGGATTTTGATTTTGATATAACAGATGACATCTCTCTCGATGTAAGGCTATTAACAAAAGTTTTAATCATTCAAAATCTATTTTGTTATATCTAGAGCTCAACCCATAGAGAAGAACGAGATTATCTCAAATCGGTTTACAATCGCATAACAATTAGTAGATTACGCCAATTATCACCAAATGTAATGCTTGTTATTTTATAACTAATAGTAATTAATTTAATTGTTATAATGATTAATTACAGATCGATTGGTTAAAAATAATCGCACACTTTGTCGGCGATAACATCACAGACACGGATGAGATAATCCTAAACGACACCAGTTTTATACACCGATTGAATCAATTGGTTAACGATACCGACAACGGGTTATAATTACATACAAATTGTTATAAAATGTTTTACTTATAGATTTAATATTGAATGGATTAGGCTTTTAGTGAATTACATGGTTTGGAGAGTTATTCTCTCGAAACACATGTCTTTGAGCGAAGAGTGGACACAAATGAGGCGCCAGTTTGAGCAGGTAATCCACGGCACCGCTAGTCCCAGACCTCGTTGGTATCAATGCGTTAAAGCGGTGGACAACGCCATGACATTACTCGTATCGCATCTCTATGTCAGGCATTATTTTAGGCCTCAGATTAAACAAAAGGTGATTTTAATTTTGATTTAAAAATCACTTTTATTAATGTAAATAATTATAAAAATTGATGTTTTAAAATCTTAAGGCATCGGAACTGATAGAAAGTGTGAGATTAGAGTTTAAACACACGCTAACGGAAATGGATTGGTTGGACAATCAGACATTGGAGCGGGCGTTGGATAAACTGGCCAGGATGCGAATTGTTGTCGGTTACCCTGATGATATTTTAAATAGCACTGCTGTTGATAGCATTTATAGTGGCGTAAATACTTTTACTAATTTATAATAATTTCAAAGTCAATGTCTACATCGACTAAAAAAATGTTTACTTAATTTGTTAATTCAGTTATCCGTAAACGCTTCGGACTTTTTCGGCAATATATTGACAATAACTCAATGGAAACAGAATTTGTCGTTTCAATCGCTTAATAAACTCAATGATATTAATGAGTAAATGATAATTATTTTTAATTATTATTAAATAAAATAACTAAATGTCTTATAGTTGGGCAAAGGTTGGCTCACTAACAATGGCCAATGCGTTCTACAATACCGTTAAGAATATGGTTGTCATTCCCGCAGGTATTCTTCAGGGAGTCTTCTATGATAAGGACAGACCTAAGTATGAAATCTTTCTCTCTCTCTCTCTCTCTAAAACAGTTCTCTCTCTAAAACAGTTCTCTCTCTAAAACAGTTCTCTCTCTCTAACTTCTTGTCTCCCAAATAGTTATTTAAACTACGGCTCGATTGCGAAGACTGCGGCCCACGAAATAATTCACGGCTTCGACAGTCACGGCCGACACTTTGACGGCGACGGGAATCTGAACTACTGGTGGGCCGGGAATACCGATCAGCGATACCGGCAAAAGGCCAAGTGTTTTGTGCAGCAATACGGCGAGTATCACGTGAACGGTGTGGGACTCACTGTGAACGGCGCTCGCACTCAGGCCGAGAATATTGCCGACAACGGAGGCATCAAATTGGCGTTTAAAGCCTACAGGGCTTTCGTCAAAGAGCGCGGACCAGAACTCCCACTCCCAGCTCTACCCTATACAACGGATCAGCTGCTGTGGATCAGCTATGGTGTCCACTATTGCGCCAAACATAACACGGAAAGTCTCCGAAATCTTATTTTGAATGACTCTCACACTCCTAAACAATATAGGTATTGATGGGGAGGGAGGGGGAGGTTCAGCAATGATAATGGTATTTATATTATTAATTAGGATTAACGGCGCTCTATCCAACTCCGATGATTTCTCTCGAGTTTTTAACTGTCCATTCGGTACACCAATGAATCCTATGGCTAAGTGCTCTGTTTGGTAGAGAGAGATGTCATCTGTTATATCAAAATCAAAATCCATCTTATCTTCATATAATATAACTGTTAGATTGCGTCTCAATTCCTTTAGAGAGAGAGAGAGAGAGAGAGAGAGAGAGATTTCATACTTAGGTCTGTCCTTATCATAGAAGACTCCCTGAAGAATACCGGCGGGAATGACAACCATATTCTTAACGGTATTGTAGAACGCATTGGCCATTGTTAGTGAGCCAACCTTTGCCCAACTAAAAGACATTTAGTTATTTTATTTAATAATAATTAAAAATAATTATCATTTACTCATTAATATCGTTGAGTTTATTAAGCGATTGAAACGACAAATTCTGTTTCCATTGAGTTATTGTCAATATATTGCCGAAAAAGTCCGAAGCGTTTAGAGATAACTGAATTAAAAAATTAAGTAAACATTTTTAGTCGCTGTAGACATTGATTTTTAAATTATTATAAATTAGTAAAAGTACTTACGCCACTATAAATGCTATCAACAGCAGTGCTATTTAAAATATCATCAGGGTAACCGACAACAATTCGCATCCTGGCCAGTTTATCCAACGCCCGCTCCAGTGTCTGATTGTCCAACCAATCCATTTCCGTTAGCGTGTGTTTAAACTCTAATCTCACACTTTCTATCAGTTCCGATGCCTTAAGATTTTAAAACAACAATTTTTATAATTATTTACATTAATAAAAATGATTTAAAAACAAAATTAAAATCACCTTTTGTTTAATCTGAGGCCTAAAATAATGCCTGACATAGAGATGCGATACGAGTAATGTCATGGCGTTGTCCACCGCTTTAACGCATTGATACCAACGAGGTCTGGGACTAGCGGTGCCGTGGATTACCTGCTCAAACTGGCGTCTCATTTGTGTCCACTCTTCGCTCAAAGACATGTGTTTCGAGAGAATGACTCTCCAAACCATGTAATTCACTAAAAGCCTAATCAATTCAATATTAAATTTATAAGTAAAACATTTTATAACAATTTATAAGTAATTATAACCCGTTGTCGGTGTCGTTAACTAATTGATTCAATCGGTGTATAAAACTGGTGTCGTTTAGGATTATCTCATCCGTGTCTGTGATGTTATCGCCGACAAAATGTGCGATTATTTTTAACCAATCAATCTATTATTAATCATTATAACAATTAAATTAATTACTATTAATTATAAAATAATAAGCATTACATTTGGTGATAATTGGCGTAATCTACTAATTGTTATGCGATTGTAAACCGATTTGAGATAATCTCGTTCTTCTCTATGGGTTGAGCTCTAGATATAAGACATAGATTTTGAATGATTAAAACTTTTATTACTTAAGTGTTTAACTTTCATTGTTAATAGCCTTACATCGAGAGAGATATCATCTGTTATATCAAAATCAAAGTCCATCTTATCTTCATATAATATAACTGTTAGATTACGTCTCAATTCCTTAGCCATTGATATCTATGATTACAAAAATAATAATTACAATAAAATATTAAATATTTCAAATAATTCTTGTCAAACAATCAATACATTAGCTAATTGTCTCTCAAACGCGAGTATTGAGTCTATTGTGGTCTCCATTTGAGACACATTTGTATTGTTTTTCATGAGTTTGAGTCCGGATTTGATCATTAAATCCCTGTACGCCACATATGAAGACCCGGTTTCTTCGTTGACCAACAAATCCCTGTTCAGTCCAAACGATGGCTGATCTAACTGTACGCCAAACGTAAGATTTAAAAATGTTAAAAGTCCACAATATTATGATTAAAAATGATAACATTATATTCTATGACTAGTTATACTAAAATACAAACCGAAAGCACTTTTCTCGTGTTATTTCTAACATCTGTTGAGACGGACAGCGAGAATAGCATTGTGTTTATGAGACCAAAGTCTCGTAATTTTAAGTACAACTCCTGCCAACCAATGGCCACCGATGTGTTGTCCGCTGACCCGAGTGGCAGTGGCCACTCATTTTGGCCAATCATCTGATCCAATAGATCTAACAGTGGCTCAGAGCCTCTTTCTTCAATTAAAGCTAACAAATAAATGTATGAAATATTATTTTATGCTAAAAATACTGTTTTTTAATTGTACTACTAATATCCGTGTAAAACAAGTGTATTAATTTTTGTCATGATATAATTTCCACTTATAAACAACTCACTTGTATTCATACAACTTTGATAGTAATCCTTAGCCTTTTGTATAAAATCGAGATCATTATTACCCCTCTCCTTGATTTCACTGTCATCTAAAAGATCTATACATACGACAAAATATTGATGGTATTTCTTAAACATGAATGAATCAAATCACTCAATAGTACCTTTGATTCTGTAATTAATAACTTCTTGCAATTCATTGAATGAGTTGAGCGACGATTTGTCGTCCGGTATTGGCGTCGATGCCATCCATTGACCGCAAGTGAATTGATAAAAGTCATCACAAGGAGACACACTCTCGTCCAATGACTGGATTATCCTAGATGCTACATACAAAGTATAATTACCATAATAAAATAACATTAATAAATATTATTCGGATAATTAGTTAAATTAATATTTTAAATTATAATATAAACTATACCTTCTTTAATACAAACGGGTGATAAACAAATTGTTTTATTGGAATTATTATTATTAAAAAACTCAAAATTACGATTAAAGTATAGTATGTTATTATATGCATGTATGACACCAATTATCGCATAAAATAAATTGATCCAGATATAAATGTTATTGTAATACTTATAAAACATATTTAGTTTTTTGTTTGCCACAAAAACAACACTTTTATATAAAAACCACTTTCGCTTTCAATAACTAAAATTTACATTTCGTTTTCAGTTCAAAAATATTTCTGTTTTTTAATCAAATGTATTTTTCACTC